CATCACCGTCGTCTTCTCCTTCCCCATGGTGGCGGATGAGCTCGAGCAGAGGTCCGGCAACGAGGCGGAAGCGAGAGTGGCGGAGGGATCGGGAGAAAGAGAAGAGAGAATGGGAGCATGCGGAGCAGAGGCCTGGCCCGAGACCTTTTATAAGGCCTTTCACCGAGTGGCTGACTGGTGGACCCAAGCGATCTAAACAAATCCCGCAACAGTCGCGCGCGCAGTACGTGGCGAAAAAGGTGGCATGGGGATCGAGGAGACTTGCCTAATCCGTCCCGATAACCTCGGTTCCGCCCATCTGGCGCACTTCCCAAAATTCGAATCTCGCGAGATCCGCGGAGAACAGAACAACTAGTCAGACTGAAGACAAACACCCTCTACATCATCATTCGGAATTCTACCATGAAAGTTCACTCGACAACAACCAAGAATGGACCAAGGCAATGGAGAAAGGAGTCGACGTCGTCACCTCAACTCATTGTTCCAGGACAAGGCATATTCATAGCACAAAGAGTGGGTCGGAAGTGTTCTCAACCCCTTCCTCACTCAAACCCTGATCCATTCGAGGGCTAATGATGAAGCTATGTACCTAGGGTAGGGTCATGGACCTGTCCAACATACCCTCCCCAAGGACATCTCTATAAAGAATCAGAAGCAGTCGAAGAGAAATCATCATCCACTCGACCGTGGAGATGCGCTCACTCGACCTCCTTGAATACACTCGACCACCAGAAGATGAGGAACCCTCCACTCTGCAACGGTCAGGACTTAAACCATAGCATTATGAGCATTTATGACACTTTACTGTAGACGTTACCAGTAACACCTTTCCTTTATGAGCATTGAACCCTGTGTAACGGAGGGGAGCTAGGGTCCTGGCGCACTCTATATAAGCCACCCTCCTCCTCCGGCACAAGGGTTCGCATCTTTTATAAACTCACACATACATATAATCCAGTCGACCGCCTCAGGGCACCGAGATGTAGGGTTGTTACTTCCTCCGAGAAGGGCCTGAACTCGTAAAACTCGTGTGTACAACTCCTCCATAGCTAGGATCTTGCCTCCTCATACTTACCCCCCCATTCTACTGTCAGTCTTAGGACCACGACAGGTCGCGCTCGAGCATCTCGAGGTACTCGCCGCCGCGGCGCTCCTCGGCCACCCTGATCTTGCGCCATTGCTCGAGGTACGCCTGCTCCTGCGCCGGCGTCGCTCCCATCCAGACCGGTGGCGCGCGTACCCACTCGCGCACTACTCCCGTCCTGGAGTAGCGCTCGATGGGGGACGGCTCCCGATCCGGCTCCGGCTTGATGGGGGACGGCGGGGCCACCGGCGGCACCACGCTGTCGCCCGCCGCGGAGAGGGCAAGGGCCTGCGCCATTGCCGCCTCGTACCGAGCCTCCTCTTCCGCCTCCGCCCTGCGCCGCTCGTCCTCCTCGCTCTCCCGGCAGACGGCCGAAAGGGCCGCCTGGTAGGCGTCCTCCACCGCCTGGTCCTCCTCGCGGACGACGAGCGCCGGTGGCGGCGACCTTCGGTCGACTTCGCGCACGCCCCATCGCCTCGCCTCCTCGTGCTCGAAGGCGAACCACCTTGCCCAGTTGGGCGAGTCAGTTGCGTAGGCGGGGTCGCGGCGCTGCTCCGGCGTCAGCAGCGCCCGCCGGTGCCGCACCTCCTCCGCGTGAGCACGAGCCGACTGCGGCGCCGCCGGCACTGGGATCCTATCTGGATCTAGATGCCAGTCGTGCGGCAACGTCACGTCGGGATAGGGCAGAGGCTGGCGGTGCTGCCAGTGCCACTCCGCCTAGTGCACTAGCACGTTCACGCGTTGCCTCTGCCGGCGAGGCGCCCGCGCCGGCGGAGGCAGGAGGAAAGGGGTGGCGGGAGACTTGCCCTTGGCCTTGCTGCCGCTGGCGCCGGAGAAGAGGCCCATCTTGTTGTGGTTGTGGTGACTAGGGTTTGTCGGCGACGAGGGGGCAAAGGATGGCAGATGTGAACGTCGAGTTTGGATAAGGACGGCCCCGCAGCACGGTTGGCTTAAAAAAGGACTAGCGCCGTCGCTGACGTATGGGCCCGTCGTCATAAATTAAGCTAACCGCGTGGGCAGCGGGTAGTTGGACGACCGTCATGTAGGGACGCGGCGGACAGGGGAAGATGCGCGAAGCGTCCGTTCAGCGTCCGCACCGACGCATTTGGGGCGCAAATTTGGGGCGCAAATTTGGGCCGCAAATGCGTCTGCGCGAACGCGACGCAAACGTGATTTGAGTTTGGATCAGTGCGTTGGGCCGCCACTTTTGTCCACACGGACCCAAACGGACACAAGTGGATAAAATGTGTCAGCCCTTTGGAGTTGCTCTTATGTTCGCCTGATATGCTCTTCTTTCCAGATGCGTGGACATGGTGAGAAACGAAAGGAGCATGTTGCACCGCCGTGGAGGCATCATGGCGAGCGCGATGCAAAATAGTGTCATGTTGCAGTGAGCTTTTGACTTGGTCCGTGGGGCTGAGCTACCGTTTGTCCTTTCCCATGGATGCCTCCTAGTCTTATGATCCTATCCCACACAGTCAGGAATCTGCTGGTAGCTCGACCAACGTGCTTGTTCGTTTCCCGGAGGTCAGATGCGTGCCTTCGATTCCTCCCTTTTAGGCCAACTCCATCGCGCGACCCCAAACGAATGTCCGTTTATTCGGATTTTGTTCATTTGGGTAGAGATTTGGAGTCGTGTCCGGGCGTGTCCTGGGATGCGGTGGTCGTGCGCCCAGCGCGTGGACGTATCCCGGCCGCGTATTATTTCTTTGCAAGTCCTTAACTTTATTTCATCATTCATTTTTGGTACATGAAAAATACATCATCACATTTTAACTAGTAAAGCAAGACAAAAAAACAAGAACCACAAGATACCAAGCTTCCATAACTGCTCCCTTGAGTTGGGTTAGGGCCTTCTCGATGCACTCGTTGTTGATCTGTGGAGGATGAGGCTCAATCTGGCATCCTCCTTTCTTCTTCAAGTCAGATGTAGATGTTGCTTTCTCCTCACACCTAGTCTCGTGTCTAGCCTCTAATCTAGCAACAAGTGCACTTGTCTCATTTACAGCCTCTATGCTAGCTAAAAGTGCACGAACATGTACTAAATTTCGCTCTATCAATATATCGATGTACTCTTCTTTCCAATACCAAAACTTGCATCCATTCTACACAACAAAATTTGAAGTTAGCACAAGTAGTCAAATCTAGAGCACAAACCGAAGCTAAAAAAAGTGCATACCCCATCGTTTAAGCACTTGATGAACACCCATCCGAGATGTTCCGGCGTTGTAGACACGCGGCGCACGACCATCCTTCGGCAGTGGTCGCACTTAATGAGTGACAACGATGCGCCAGCGAGCTTTTGGGCAAGCACCGAGCCCGGCCGGCCGCCATTCGTGTATCTGCCGGCGGACCATCGACGATGCAGATCCGAGCGGCTAGAGGAGGAGCCACTGCCTGCATGTGGCCTTGCGGCCCTGCCAGGGCCTTCCGGCGAGGTGTCCGGCCAGTCCATGGCACGGCCCGGCCTCCCACAGCCGGCCGAGCTCAAAACAGACCGGATCCGCCGCAAAACCGCCCGGCGGGTGCGCAAACCAAGTGGCTGTGGTTGGGTAGCTCGGCAGCGCCGAGGGGAAGGGGTTGGGCGAGCTCTCATCCGAACTGCACGGCTGCAATGGCAGCGGCGGCTGCAGCGGCGGCGAGGGGAAGAGTGGAAAAGAGTGGAGGGGGTGCGGCCGGAGGGAGGGAGGGGGCGGATAGAAAAAAGTCTGCGTTGTGCCACCGACGAGCGGGCCAGGGGAGACACGCACAGACGACCGGCGCGTCCGCGTGGTGTCTGTTTCACCTCAAAAACGGCGCAAACTTAGGCCGTGGATGGGTCGAAAGCGGACATAAAGCAGACAAAAGTCCGTTTACAGTCGCGCGCTGGGCCGTCTCGTTTGTCCCTTTTACCCTAAACGGACGGGGACGAAGAGGATAGGATTGCGCGGTGAAGTTGGCCTTATCAATCGCAGGCGTAGCCAAGGACCAAACTGTGGCGGCAGCCAGGCTCGCTTGAATGCTAGGCTGACTGGTTGCTGCTCAATTTCATGCATGCATACGCATGCGTATGCGTACGTACGTGCCGTTTGTTAGCCTGTCAACTGTGTCAAATGTCAACGGGTTGAACCTTTCAGCCTGCCCCATCTGACGGATCCGGCACTGTGTGCCACGCCATCTCCAACAAGATAAGATCGCACTGCACTGCACTGCACTTGCACAGCATTTGTGCCGACTTTCTACTCTGGTAGACAAACATAGCAACACCCATTGCGGAAATCCCTTTTGGTGACCGAGCTCCAATGAGGCCTTCAAATTCAAAAACCAAATTTCATATTTTTATGATTCAAAAAAATCTAAAAAAACACAGGTATACATGAAGGCATAATACACATGTGTGTAAACTTTCAGGGGAAAAAACGTTGAAATGAGGGCTGTGTAAAAACAACAAATTTGAGGCTAACACATGATACTATTCATCCTCACAGGCCATGAATTTGTCTGTTTTGTACAGGTCGCAACTCAAGGTATTTCATCATGAATTTTTACACATATGTGGGTTACATCCTTACATACACATATATATTTTTTTAGAATTTTTTGAAACATAAAAGTTCAAATTTGAATTTTTCAAAAATAAAGGGCTCCATGAAGCTCGACCTTCAAAACGCCATTCTCCACCCGTTGCATTTATATTTACAGGATCACATCACGCCCATTGCATGTTTACATCCACATCGGCATTTCAAACCATGCTGCCTTCTAACTCTGCTGTCTCACAGCTAGCAAGGTCACATTTTACAGATTTTGGTCACAACGAGCAAGGTTCAGATTTTACACGAGGAACAACCATTTATTTACTTTTACTTGAAACTCGACAAGGATGAGGTCGCAGTGTTTAACCCAGCCGGGATACTATACACCTGCAGTCACTGCTTCAAGCCTCTCTCACAAGCCTGTCTTTAGCCGCACCGACGCCTCTCTGCAGATCGAGGTATTTCTGCACTGAAACTTCCGAAAATGCCTCAAGCTTCTCGACGAACACCACGAGGATCGATCTTAAATCGGCAGCGGCATCGTCTCTAGGAACCTCTTGCTCCGCTTCACCATCTTTTACCGTCTCGTCCAGGCGTTGATCCAAACGGCGTGGCAGAAGGCGGCTTATACCGGCAACAAGACACTCGATGGCCTCTTCCAGGTCCTCGGTCGGCAGATCGTCCAGCAGCTTCATCCAGGTCTCGCCGGCGGCGAACATGGGCGCGACGGCGCACTCCGCCAGCGAGACGTCGACGGCGGCTGCGTTTTGCTTCCTGGAGCTCTTCCTCTTCCTCAGAGGTTTCATACACTTGTGCAGCCACAGGTTTATGCTGCGCAGGTAGGCCTTGTGGGATGAGATCCAGTTTTGTAAGTTTAACCGTAGTTTTCCGAGCTCAGCGGAGAGGAGAGCTACGGTTTGGCAATGAGAGTCGGAGTCGAATGGTATTTGTAATTTGCAGCTGCTGGATAGTGACTTGATGATCCCGTGTTGATGCCGATGGCACTGGAGCATGGTTGCCCATATCATGGTGAGACTGCAGGAAAAGGCAGATAGCACACAACCAAGTGCAAATTATGATGCACTGCATACTAATCCGCCATGGTCTCCCAGTGCAAATTTTCCTATGAAAAATTGAAATGGACAAACACACCTCTCAATTAGCTCATCCAGCTGCGGTTGAAGGCTTGAAGCTCTTTATCCCTTAGATCTTCTATGTTCATCGAAATGAAGTATATCTTTCGAATAGCCACTGGGATTCTGGAATGCAAGTCTTCTACTGCAGCAGGGGTAAAATCGGTAATGATTAGTTTTTTCCCTCGCGACTCCTGGTCTCTCAGTTGTTTACATTTCTCATCATACTTCCTGCAGATGGAGCTATTGGCCTGAAAGCAGAATCACACTTGGCGTTACCAAACGGCAACAGGCCGCGTAACTGCAAGTCATATATGGAAGCTTAGTAGTTTCGACCTTCTTCGTTTCAGGACACTAATAAATTTTGGTTGCGTGCAATTGTCTCTTACACTATCTAAAAAGAATTAAGTGACATCTGGAAAACCTATACAATTACAACAACAAAAAATTGACAAATAGAATGTTGTTCTCCATAAACAAGTATTTGGTACACGAAATGCAGTAGAGAGTTCCAGTAAAGGCAGTCACAACTCACAATAGTAAGTCATAAGAATCAAGACATATTTCATTATGCTCAAAAGGAAGGGGAAGAGGGACTGCTACAGGCAAACAGAAACGGGGAACATGCACCAATATTCAAAGCGTGCACATTGAGTAGCAGGCTATTACCTTAACTTCGTCATAAAGCTTTGTCTCCCATGCATACAACCTATCTAGCGTCGATGTATGGACGACAAGAATAGTTCGAGGAGGATTCTTAGATGGCGACAGCTGTGAAGACACTGATCTATGCCAGGTAAGGTACTTTATCTCAGCTTGAGGAGGAGCTGCATTAAACCATCATGATCAAATTATTTTTCACGGTAAGAAAGACCACATCTGATATTTTGCAACAGAAAATAAAATGCTAAACAAGAAAAAATAACAGCAAGGTCAATTGCCTGGGGAGCATCTAGCATATGAAACTGATCTCAGCAGAATAGTAAGGAAAATACAATAACCACAACAACAGCAAGGCACAAATTAAACGAAGTTAAAACATATAGAGGATGGAAATAACTTGAATAGCAGTGGTAATCAGTTATGCACAGAAAATGCTGCTGAATATATTCTAACACAGAAGCAGGATAGTGCTGTACACTTATAGTAGAAAGAAAGTTATACTAACAACTACAAAAGAGAAAGCTTACGTTTGGGAATAGAAACTTCCTCCCTGCAGCAAACAAGAAATGTCGCAAGAAACTTTGATGCCTTTGATCCATGTGCTGCAGCAAAAAAAAAAATTTGAGCCTGAAAAAATGGATCATGCAACACAAATGTACGTTACTTGACATATCCAACCTATTTCTTCAGGTAGTAGAGGGCGGAACTGGATTTTATCTTCTTCCAGAATCATTGGAACTTGTTTCCCAGAATCACATGCCCTAAAGAATAATATCTCAACCTCTTTCATAAACGAAGAAGATAAGTCCTTCACCACATTCTTTACTTCAGGATAAGGTTTCTGGGAGTCCATAGTGCGAGCAGCCGCAGATGATGGGACCACATTAACCAGGGGGGTGGCAGGAATTTCATCATTTTCATTTGTGATAACACCTATTATTCTCCTCTTGCCTTTGAGCCTGTCTACTGAAGCAATATTTTCTGAAGCTACACTATCTGAGGCAAATCATTGGGGTTCTTGTGCACCTGTGCCACAGTTTCAGTGGACGGATTGTCGAAACCATCTTCTGAATCTGCAACATGACCCTCCTTATTTGCAGCTGCAGGAGACTTCTCTCCTTCAAAACAATTTCTCAGAAGAGATCCCGTATCTCTAAGTGACACAATATAATCATGGTGAGCACATGCAAGCGCACATCTTCCATCAAGTGCCTCTCTAACAAAACGCTTCCTCTCCTGGCATAACACAAGGACCTTGTCGTCTTCAATCATAGAAGACGCCACACCCATGTTCAAGTGCAAGAGCAGGAAGAGCCAACAGAGCACAAAGTTTCACAGAGGTTACCAGGGCATGGATGCAAAGTCAAAGACATCCACTGAGGTTAACTGTAGGATCGCTGGCTGTCGTTGGCAGTGGCAAGTAGCAGTGTTTGGATGATGAAGACCGCGCTTCGATGCTGCAACAGTTAAAAGAGCTAAGTGACAAGACACCCCTAAAAGCGCTAAAAGTGCAGTACATTCAATGATCTTTATCCTGAAACCAAAATTTCATCATGTGAAACATATCGCCTATGTCTGTTTCATCTGTAAAAGCGGATTGACCAGTGTCACACGTTTGGCTGAAAATAAATCAAATTGAAGGCATCCTAACTGAACTGCTAGAATTGAAAGCAAAAGACAGAATTCTCTACCTTGTGCTCCCTCCGTTCGGAATTACTTGTCTAGTAGATACATCCGTATCTAGACAAATCTAAGACAAGTAATTTGGGACAGAGGTAATACTATTTGTTAGAATTGAACTTATTACCATAGAACAGTACCAAATGGTAGGATTCAACAGGCGAAAGCAGAACTATAGCGCTGTAGTTTGCATCAAGGCCCATCATTCATCACCGAAAATCCACACAACTATGCAGTGCTAAGCTAGACAGCAGCTGAGCTGAGTAATATTTACTCAGTAGCATCTCACGAAGCCAACTGACACTAGTGTTTACTGAGTTGCTCTGCACTCCACCCAGCGCACCCGCAAATCCAACGATTCCACCCGAGAGAGAACTTCAGAGGGAAAGTAAAATCACCTCAGCCAATCGGACCACGGCCGGATTCGCTGCGCGCCGCGCGGTCTTCCCCGGGTACTTCCGCGGCTCCGCCCCACGAGGCCACGAGCGCGGCGCGGCGCGGGCGATGGAGGAGAGGAGGCGGGACGGGGAAGAGGGCGAGCTGGCCGAGGAGGGCGAGTGTGTGTGGGGGAGCATATATAGAGGCACAGCTGGGCGCCATTGCCGTAGCCTATAGGCATCGCCGGTCGCCGGAGGAGAGGAGAGCGCCGTGTGTCGCCATTATTTTCGCGGAGGAGTAAACCGCGGCGACGCAACGCGACGGGGCGGGCCTTAATCCAGCTCGTATTTATGGCACATTCAGCCCATCTATAGGCGCACCGCGGCCCGTGAGACCGCAGGCCATAAACCCAACTTAGCGAGACAAAAAATCATGATCTTCTATCTCTCTCGAGCTGGTGACGGCGGTTTGCTAATGGCGAGCACGAAGTTTAAAGTACTAAGTTGAGCGGCTGGTCCACTTTTATTTTCTTCAAATTTTTCAACATTTCTTGGGGAAATGTGAGCATTTTTTTGTTAAAAATACAAACATTTTTTGAAAACCGTGAAATTCTAAACATTAATTGAAATTTTATATGCGATGAATTTTTCCAAATATATATTGCACATTTTTTAATATATGCTGAAAGATTTTTAAAATAAAGTATGAATATTTTTGTGATATAGGCTGAATAATATTTAAATACACATTAAAAATATGTTGAGCAAAAATTTAAAAACACATTGAATTTTTTTCGTGATATACACTAAAAAAATTTCAAATACACAATGAACAATTTCGTAATATAGGGTGAGCATTTCCCTAAATATACAATGAACATTTTATATATTGATACACAATGAACATTTTCATAATATAGGGTGAACATTTCCCTAAATATACAATGAACATATTTATATATTGATACACAATGAACTTTGTATAATGCATGAAAAAAGAAATAAAAAATAAAAAGAAAACAAAAGAATAAAAATAGAAATAGAAAAAGAAAAAAGAAACAGAAAAGTGATGAAACAACCTCGTGACTGTGGGCCGGCCCAAACTAGGGCGTCAGGAGTTCAAGCTTCAGCAAAGTCGTGTCGAATAGGGATTGCCCTTTGCCGTCTGATTCAAAGACGCCACTCTCTAGGATTCGCCTTCCCTTTGTCGTAATCATGCTCTCCCTTTCAGCTCCCTATTCCCTCTACAAATCCGCTGCAAAATCACAGTAGTTAGTGATCGGGATCAATCAACGCACTGACCAAGATTTTCTCAACTGTTGTTGGTGCCGTAGGCAAATCACCCTCCTCCATTTTGTTCTTGTAGGTCCCCCGCACCAAAAGACGGGAATGGCGATGGACACAAGTGACGATGGCAAGAGCAAGAACATAAGTAAGAATGCATTAGAGGAAGGTGAGGGTAGTTGCAATTCTAGCTCCAGGTCCCATGACCACGGCGCAAAGATGTCTAGATCAAGAAACCGGCGTGGAAGAATAAACAATGATGATCCATCCATTCTGAAGCGGCGCAGGAGGTGCATGTCGTTCTCATCCGCCGCTGCTAACAATATCTTGAAGGAACATAGCTTTTTTTTCTCCGGTGGTGTTCCTTGTTCTTTCTATGACAATCCATCCAATCCAAAATCGGATGCTTATTTTCCTTCACCATGGCCGTGGCGTTTTCAGGGGCTTGAACACGTTAATCCTAATCCTCACCCTATAAAAGTTCCCTTCAAAGTCATGTGATTTAGGTTCCACAAAGACCACCAGCTCAACTTTCCCAGTCAAAGCCGCCAAACATAGTTCTAGAGTCATGAACTTGCACCCATAGTTCTAGAGTGTCCAACATGATCTGCGACGGATTGGTGTAGCCATCATATGGCGCAATGATCACGACATGCCCTTGATAATTCCATGACTCTTTTTAGTCACTCAAACATGAAAATGGAAGAGTATATAGATTATCTTTCAAGGGCCTGATGTCCCCTTCTTGTGCAAGATCCCACACAGCCCTCATAGTCTTGTAGAACCAAAACTGACTATAAGTTTTTTCTACATGAACCCCACACAGAGCCATCCAACGAATCGACTCGGGTGCTAGCAGCTCCTCTTCCCCAAAGATGACATCATCCAGATCATCATCTTTCAGCCCTAGCTTCCCCATCATCTTCGACACCTCTAAAGTTCGCCGACACCTTGGATCGTGAAGCTGTGTCCGACATGCCTGACGAAACAAGCCCGAAGAAGACCAACGAGCTTTGAAGAAACCCTAGACTACACACACCCGACGGGTCCCAGGCTGGGAAGCACTACAGTAGGACCGCAATATGCAAAATTCAAAAAATTAGTGTTGTGGATAGGAGTCAAACACATGACCTTATGCTGCCAGGCACAGCGGCATACCAATGGAGCAAACAAGAATTCATGACTAATGGTAGCGCGGTGCTTCAAGAACTAGAACTAGTCATAGATTTGAATGATTTTTGAAACTTCAAACACGTTTTTTATTTAAAAAAACTAAATAGTTTTTGAAACGTGAACATTTTTCAATATTGTGAGATTTTTTTTGAAAACATGAACAATCTTCAAAATTCCGGAACACATTTTGAAATTTAAAAAATGAGAACAACTTTTTAAATCATGAACAAAATTTGAAACTCTGACTTTCAAGAAAATATGAAAAAAAATTAAAGTTGCGAATAGTTTTCGAGAAACATGATAATTTTTTAATACTTTGACCTTTTTTGAAAATGTGATCAAATTTCAAACTTCTGAATACTTTCGAGAATGCAAACAATTTTGTTCAAGGTGAACAAATTTTGGAATTGACGAACATTTTTTGAAAACACGAACAAATTTTGAAAAATGAGAACAAAATATTTACGAACATTTTTTGTAAACATGAATTTCTTTTGAAACTCTGAACATTTTTGAAAACATGAGAAAAAATTGAAATCACAAACAATATTTGGAAAACATGAACAAAATTTGAAAACTTCAAACTTTTTGGAAAACGTGAACAAATTTCCAAATTCTGAACTTTTTGAAAAACACAAACAATTTTTTAAAACATCAATAAAATTTTAATCTAGAAAATGTAAAAAGTGAACAATTTTGGAGGATGTTAAACATTTTTTAAAATTTGCGATTCTAAAAAAAGGCAAACAAGAAAAGAATGCACCTGAAAAAGGAACAAAAAACAAAAACAAAAAAAATGAAAAAAGAGACAGAGAAAAAGAAACCGAAAAAAGAAATGAAAAATAAAAACAAAAAAAGAAAAATAAAAAATAATCACAAAAGAAAACCACTAAACGGTATAAATACAAAAACCGTTTCAGGGAACCTTCTGGAAGGCTCCCATAACCGGCTGCCTCGCTATGGGATAGTCGGCTGGCCCAATGCTGGTGCTCGGGGGATCGCCTGTGTGAACCCTCGACAGTTTGTCGCAGTTAGCGTCAAATAGGATTTTCCGTAGGAGTCACTCTCTCATGGATCGAATCCTCCAGCTCGCGCATTTGACCACACGAAGCCCATGAGGTAGATTAAGAGGCCCAGCCCACCGAGAGGACGACGGCCCAGATAAACCCGCTCCCACACTCGTCTCCTCCCACTCTTTCCCAGTTCGATTTTCAAAACCCTCACTCTCCCATCACGGAAGAGATTCGCCTCCGCTTTGCCGTCCGCAATCATTCTCTCCCCCCTTTCCGCTGCTCCCTCTGCAAATCCGCTGCGGAATCGCAGCAATCAGTGAGCGCGATCAATCAGCGCGCCCACCGAGGTTTCTCGACCGTCGCCGGCGCCGCAGGCAGGCAGAGCGCCCTCCTCCCTCCGGTTCCTTCTTGCAGGTGCGCGTCCTCCTCCGCTCTCGCCCTCCCCCTCTCGCCGCCTGCCCCGTTTCTTGCCGGTCAGCCTCCTTCTTGGTTGGTTCGCGAGGCTGTTCCTGAATTCCGGGTTGGGTTTGGTGCTTCCCTGCTCGGAGGCTCTTAATTCTGGGTTCTTGCTTTGTTGGTCCTGTGTGTATGTAACCTGTTCGACCAATTTCCTGGCCCGACCTCGCTAGATGCGGCAGCCGGCAATGGCATGAGGGTTGGTGTGCGTAGTTCCTGGAACTCTGTTGCGGTTAGAGATCTCTCGCAGATTATCACCCTCTCGTGTCTGGTTCTGAACTCCCCTGTTGATTTGTTCTTGTCCACTTCCTGTAGATATATATATATTTTTGATTTGCTGCAGCATCTGGCTTCTGTAGAATTTGCTTGCGGATCAACCAGTGTTTTTATTTCAGTATAGGTCAACTTGCTGTCAGATTTATTTTCCTGTCTGCTTCTTTACTGAGCAAGATCCGATCCATGCAGGGACTCATTGGTGGGACACTTAATTTTCAAATCACAACAGTCCCGTAAACGATGCGAAGATTCTTTTTCTTCGGGTCCCCCACCCCGAAGGACGGGAATGGCGATGGGACGCCAGGCGACGACGGCAAGAGCAAGAACAGGAGTAAGAAGCCACTGGAGGAAGGCGAGGGTAGTTGCAACTCCAGCTCCAGGTCCCATGACCACGGCGCAAGGATGTCTAGGTCGAGAAGCCGCCGTGGAAGGCTGAGCAACGAGGAGCCAGCCAATCCAAAGCAGCTCAGGAGGTGCATGTCGTTCTCATCCGCCGCCGCCAACAGTGGCCTGAAGGAACGGAGCTTTAGCTTCTCCGGCGATGTCCCTGGTTCTTTCTATGACGAATCTGATGTGCCTCACCAGGCCGAAGATGTCAAGTAAGTTGTTCTGATTACATAACTTTTTTTGAGGAATGTTACGAGTCTGATTACATAGTAATCCCATATATCTAGGCTGTTTTACCGTGATCAGACCAGTATTTGTTATTGACACCCCATGGTCTTGTTGATCCATGCTAGTAAAGAGAAGAAACGGCAAATAAAAACTCCTCAGCATATGTTCGATTGTTTGTTATGTGCATCTGTCAAGTTTACTCATTTTAGCTCATGAGGTATTACTATAAATGCTCAGTTATTTGTTTGGCAGAGGCCCTTCTTGCAAAATGTTCAGTTTCAGTGCACGTGCAGCTTTCTTTTAGGCATCGTTCACCACTCCATTGCTTGTACTTGATGTAATCTCATGCCCCCTTTTTTTCAATCTTTAATTCATAGTTAAGGAGTTGTCTTGTGTTTGAGCTCCATTGTATCGACAACAGTTCTACTGTATCAGTTGTCTGATGAAATGTTCTACCTAACTCATTCTGATTATTGACTTGCAGTCACTATGCCTGGTCACCAGAAAGGCATCCAGTCTTAAGAGAATCCTCAGTAAAGGTTCCAAAACCATGTTCAGTCCTGGAAACTGATTCTCCTCGTTCAAGATGCTATTCATGCTCAACAGGGCACTCCCCTCCTACCTCTCCTGTTGCCCTACGATGCAGGTCTACGAGGCTAGGCAGTTTATTGAACAAGAATGAAGTGCTAGACCGATACATTGATGGAGAGCAGGAGGCTGCCATCCAAAATGAGAAGCTGAGGCAGAACTCTCCCACTAGATCTGTGGTTTCGAATTCAAGACGTCCGCCTCGACCCCATTATACAATGCCATCTTTGCAAAAATCAATGAAAGAGAACGTTGAGACCTACCCAAATGTGGATGCGAAGGATGCCTATGGAAGTAAAAACCATGCAAGTGTTCTGGATGATTTTGGGAGGTTTCCACATTTAGAAGATTACAGATCAGAAAGCATTCCATCTGTTGAAGATATCTATGAGGATTTCCAAGATATGCAACCTTCAAAAGTTATCCATGATGCCCCCCAATATTTTCATGATCATGACTTGGATTTCGCCCCAGAAGGGCAAGAAACTGATGATAAGTTGCTTCAAAGGGCAAAAGAAATTGAAGAGAGGTTTATAATTCCTTCTGGAGACAATCATCAGCTTAACATGTCCAGATATAAGCGATTAAGCTCAAATGAAATGTTCCAGTTGATTCAGTGTTTGACTGAAGACAGGAAACAGCTAGCAGATGAATTGTCTTCACAGATTAAGGCACGCCTTGAAGAAAGGTTTAATGCCAAAGAGAAGTACAAACAATCAGTGAAAGAACTTGAGATCAGAACTCGAAGGCTGGAGAAGGAGAAGACTGAAGTACAGAGTACTTTGGAGAGAGAGATTGACAGAAGGTCAAACGATTGGTCAGCCAGGCTGTTGAGATTTCAATCTGAAGAAGAGAGACTGCGTGAACGGGTGAGAGAACTTGCTGAGAAAAATGTCTCATTTCAGAGAGAACTCACTTCTCTTGAAGCATACAAAGTTGATGCATCTGATAAGGTTGCAAGTTTGGAAAAGCAAAACATGGAACTAACTGATGAGCTAGAGAAAGTGAAAAATGAGCACAACAATCTCCACAATTCTTCAATAGAGTTGCATGCTCAATTTTCTAAGGCCACAGAGGAGAAGGAGCATATCAGGGGATTCTTGAAAGATAAGGAGGGTGATAACAAGGCATTGCACCAAGTGGTTGCAAGGCTACAGACAATATGCAATGAACAAGAAAAAACAATTGCTGGCTTGAGACAGGGATTCAGTGCTGAATTGGATAAGGAATCTGTTTGGTCCAGCAGTGAGAGGAAGAATAGGATGCAGATGGAACTCATCAGATTGTCAGGAGTGGAGCAGAAGTTGAGAGGTGAAGTTCAATCTTGTCGTCTTGAAGTAGAATCTCTTAGGCAAGAGAACATTGCACTCTTAAATCGTCTACAAAGCACTGAAAATGGATCAAGCTTTTCCTCAATTCGTCTTGGCCAGGAGCTTCAGGCTAAAGTGGACAACTTGCAGACACAAGGCTTGTCGTTACTTGATAAGAGTAACCAACTTTGCACCAAATTGCTGGACCTTGTGAAATGCAGGAGGCATGAAAGTGAACATGACAGCGATATTGATGCATTAGATTACACACTGGAGCTCCAGAGCATCAAAGGAGGAATCGGGAATCTGAAACGAAGCCTGCGGGCAACCAGTGCTGTGCTTGCCGAAAAGCAGAATTTGAAAGAAAGATCTGGTGAGGCTGCAGTTGGAGGTAGTCCTCTCATGGAGGAGACAGATGAGGTACGAAAGCACACATCCAATGAGAACTTAATTTTAATTATGCTGCCATGTTGCATTCTCTGTTGGGATAAGAACCATGGCTTGATTTTGAGAGTTACATGTCTTTGTAATGTTTTTCTCTGAGCAACTATTAAGATTGTTTTTACAAGGAAACCGTGGCTTAGGATTTTTTATATTATATCTCTAATTTGATGAGCCAAACCAGAAGCTGCTTAAACTTTTACGAAAACTCAAAATATATGATATCTGGTACGAAAGCACGCATCCCTGAGAACTTATGTTTAATTGTGCCGCTGTATTTTTTTTCTCTGTCTGGATAAAACAAGAACCATGGATTGATTTTGAGAGTCACATGTCTTTATAATGTTTTTGTCGAGCAACTCTTCAGAATGTTTTTGTTAGGAAACCATGACTTCAGTTTTAAAATATGATATCTCTAGTGAGATGAGCCAAATCAGAAGCTGCTTTAACTTTTATGAAAACTTCAAGGTAAAAAAAACTTTTATGAAAGCTCAAAATATTTCAGTATTATCAATCCAATTTTCCTGTTGTTTGTTCTTAATGTAGGTTAATTTTGAATTCAAGCTGAAAGAAGAGGCTCTTCTGAATAGAGTACTGAAGGAGGCACTTTTGTCAAAGGAACTTGACATTGAACAGCTGCGGTCAGATGTGGCATCTTTGCTTCGTATCCAAGTTGTCATGAGGAATGAGGTCCAGAGAGTCCAAGATGAACTATCCTGCATCACCCACAAGGCTAAACATTTGGAGCTTCAGGTAACATCCCATCCCTATATTCCCTAGCAAACCAGTGGTAAAAGGTGGATTTGGAAAATATCTTATGTATTACTGATGGATGTTGAAGACCTTGAGCATGTGCAGCCTGTGTATTTTTTGTTTACATATTCTTTTGCACTTAACAGGGTTCGAAGAAAGACGAGTCCATCGACCAGATCCAGCAGGATTTCCAAGAATCTGCCAAGGAGCTAAGCGCGCTCAGAGGAGAGCTGAAAATCGTGACCGATGAAAGGGACCTCTCGTGGCAGGAAGCGAAGCAGCTCCGCAAAACCACCAGCATGATGCAGAACGAGGTCGCGTCTCTAAAGAAGAAGATCGAGTCCCTCGAAGAAGACATCCTTGTCAAGGAGGGGCAGATCTCGATCCTACAGGACAACGTCTACAAGCCGCCGCTCGACTTCATCTGCAGCCCCAGAACGATGAAGCAGTTCGGCATGGAGTGAAACTTTGCACAAAGAAAGAAAAGCTCTTGGGACATATATAGCTTTTATACTGTTATTATGGGCAGATATAGACGGCCTGCGCCGCATAGGACGTGTTCATATGCTTTTATCGCAGTATCTTTTTTTCCAACCCGTGCAGGACCCCTGCATGGTTCGAAAAAAAGATAATGTGGTTTGTTTTGCAATGCAACCGAAGTTTGCTGTATCTTTTGTAAAGCGATGCGTGCATCACAACCTGTGATGGCCTTGCCGCGCCTACTTAAGTTTCTGTAGTATGAATCTGTGATGTGGCGAGGACACCGTGAATGGATCGTCCCTTTCTTCGGTTTTCGATTTCGTCTTGTTCACTTGTCACTGTATCTATCTACATGGCCAAGCGAGAGTTACATTACACCTTTTGGTGAAGCAAAATGCTTGCATCTGACACCGACTGCATGAAAACACTGATAACCATTTCACTTTCCCCACTGTAGATGATAATGTGAGTACCTATCGTCCCTTAATCCTTGTCCATTTGTTACTGTACACATGGTCTTGGCGCGCTGTGAACTGTGGTAGTCGTTAATTTATAGTTTCTTCTGGACTGTAGTCTGGTGTCCGTCGTCCGTTTTCTTGTCAATTTCTCCTTGTTCACTTGTCACTCACACACGGACTAGGCGTGCCGTAAGCTTTCCATTTGTCACGACTTATTGCCCAGTGGAGGTCGATGTTTCTTTGATTGAAAGTTACATGCTTGGACTGCATTTACATCCTGCGTTTGCGTTTGAGAGGTACCACACGCAAGTTGCATCTGGCGTGCGTGATTGTGAGCAGCTCCACTGTTCCGGATAATACGATCTGTGTATCAATCCCTCACCAGTCACCACAAGGCAAAATAATCTAACAGTTTCAAAGGGAAAAATGGTCTTGTGAACAGGTGGGGGCCTGGACACTTGCATAGAGTAGTAGTTGCATTGAAACTCAAGATCACGCGAGCTCTGACCAATACATAGAGCAGAGTATTATCTTTTCCCTTTGGGCTGGCGTCGTTGTCCACGAGAGGTGCCCGGAGTGAATGCTGGCGTCGTGTCACCCAAGTCAAATCGACGCTCCATGTCTCGGTGCCGCACGCGCGGCCTCGGCCTAGCTACCTACTTGATCTCCATATATCGGCATATCGCGAGCCTAGCTAGCTCTCGCCATTGCCGCACGCACGCGCAGAGCGACGAGGCGACACGTACAGTGCGTGCGTGAACAACCAAGGAGAGGAGAGCAGACGAGATCGACCAGGCCATGGCGAGCGTGGGCGCGCTGCTGATGGCCGCCGTGCTCCCGCCCGTGGCCGCGCTGCTCGTGGCGATGGCCGTCCGGGCCGCGTCGCGCGGGCTGGGCGCGCTGGCGCGCGCGCACTACGCGTGGCCGGCGAGTTCGCCGTCCGTGCACGCGCGGAAGTGCGGCAGGAGGGCGGCGCCGGAGCAGCCGGACCACGAGCTGCGCGTGTCGCGGCACCGCGGGGGCGCGGCGGTGGAGTGCGCGGTCTGCCTGAGCGGCGTGGAGGAGGGCGACGAGGTGCGGGAGCTGCGGTGCCGGCACGTGTTCCACCGCGCCTGCCTCGACCGGTGGCTCGCGACGCCGCCGGCCACGTGCCCGCTCTGCCGCTCCCGCCTGCTGACGGCGCCGCCGGTAGAGGAGGAGGAGGAGGTGGAGGACCTGGACTCGGACCTGCTGCTGCTCATGGCGTACGTGCACGGCGGCGGCCGCAGATGGTTCTGGTCGCCGTGATCACCCGCCCGTGAGGCCATGACCCATGCCATGCTCGAGGGCCTGTACGCCGTACGGACGCGTGTGCGTACGTGCGTCGTGCACCGGCACGCACGCACGCACGCACGTACGGTGGCCTGGGCGCACGTTCCCGGCAGTTTTGTATATTGTTTTCTCAGAGCTAGATCGTAGATCGTCAGTTCATTTCTCTTCTCCTTTCTTTCTTTTTTGGCTGTGGTTCGTGTACGCACGAGAGAGCGGTGGGTGGTATGGAGCTTAGCTGGTTCTCTCGCAGTTTGTTAATGGCGCACGCACGCATGCATGGCAGGTTGGCAGAGCGTGGCGCCTGGCGATCGCCACGTCGTCCGGGCGCGCGCACGTTGTTCTCGCTTGCCTCGACGTGTGTCTGGGCGACGTCGCCGCTCGCTCACGGGAGAGCTAGAGAGATCTCTCTGTCTCCTGCGCGCGCATGTCGCAGGTCGCATCTTATCCTCTGGGAGTCTGGGTCTGGGGCTTTATTTTCTTGTGCTGACAGTGCCCGTGAGCAATTTCAACGGGCCGACCCAAACGGATGGTAATTTCGTCCATTTTTTATTCGTTTGGATCGACCGCCCGCCCGACGTTCGCTCTGTTTTTCATATGGGTCGACAACGCGAATAAATTGTGAAATGAAAATTTATAACAAACAAAATAGTCCGCCCAAATAAATAGTATAGTTTTAAAGCAACTCCAACGCAAGGACCCAAACGGACACCGATTTTGTCCGTTTCGTGTCCGTTTGGGTCACCTGTCTGCCTAGTGGACATGGGACGGACAAGCCTTGTATCTAACGCACGTCGACCCAAACTCTCCGCACCGCCCGTCCCCTCCTCTCTCCCTCGCGCCGCCCGCCCCCTTCTCTCTCCCTCGCGCCGCCCCTCCTCTCCTCCTTGCGGATCCCCTCCCCCGCGAGATTTTTCTCTGCTCACGCCTCTGCTGCAGCCAACCTCTGCTCGCACCGCCGTTCGGGCCTCGAGCCCCAGCAGGAGCGCGCGGAGGAGCCCTGTGCCGGTGGCCTCGCTGGGGCGTGGAGGAGTGGTCGAGCGCGCCGTGGCGACCTGCTCCGGTGGCCTCGCTGTGGCACGAAGGAGCGGCCGAGCGCGCGTCGGCGACCTGTGCCGGTGGCCTTGCTGCGGTGCGGAGGAGCGGCCGAGCGTGCGGTGGAGACCAGTGCTACGTCTTGAGCTTGCATTGGTTTTCTCCGAAGAGGAAGGGATGATGCAACAGAGTAGCGTAAGTATTTCCCTCAGTTTTTGAGAACCAAGGTATCAATCCAGTAGGAGCCTACGCTCAAGTCCCTCGTACCTGCACAAAGCGATAGCTACTCGCAACCAACGCGATTAGGGGTTGTCAAGCCCTTCACGGTCACTTATGAGAGTGAGATCTGATAGATAGAATATTTTTGGTATTTTTGATATAAAGATGCAAAGTAAAAATTAAAAGCAAAGTAAATAGCAAAACAATATAAAAGTGATGGAGATTGATATGATGAGAATAGACCCAGGGACCATAGGTTTCACTAGTGGCTTCTCTCAAAAGCATAAGTATTCTACGGTGGGTGAACAAATTATTGTTGAACAATTGATAGAATTGCGCATAATTATGAGAATATCTAGGCATGATCATGTATATAGGCATCACGTCCGTGACAAGTAGATCGAAACGATTCTGCATCTACTACTATTACTCCACTCATCGACCGCTATCCAGCATGCATCTAGAGTATTAAGTTAAAAACAGAGTAACGCCTTAAGCAAGATGACATGATGTAGAGAGATAAATTCATGCAATATGAAATAAACCTCATCTTGTTATCCTTGATGGCAACGATACAATACGTGCCTTGCTGCCCCTTCTGTCACTGGATAAGGACACCGCAAGATCGAACCCAAAGCTAAGCACTTCTCCCATGGCAAGAACTACCAATTTAGTTGGCCAAACCAAACGGATAATTCGAAGAGACTTGCAAAGATAAACAATCATGCATAAAAGAATTCAGAGAAGATTCAAATATTATTCATAGATAGACTTGATCATAAACCCACAATTCATCGGTCTCAACAAACACAACGCAAAAAAAAGATTACATCGAATAGATCTCCACGAGAGAAGGGGAGAACTTTGTATTGAGATTCAAAGAGAGAGAAGAAGCCATCTAGTCACTAACTATGGCCCCGAAGGTCTGAGGTAAACTAGTCACACTTCATCGGAGGGGTTAGGATGATGTAGAAGCCCTCCGTGATGACGGCCCTCTTCCGGCGGAGCTCCGGAACAGGCCCCAAGATGGGATCTCGTGGATACAGAAAGTTGCGGCGGTGGAATTAGGTTTTTGGCTCCTGTTCTGATCGTTTGGGGGTACGTGTGTATATATAGGAGGAAGGAGTACGTCGGTGGAGCACCGAGGGGCCCACAAGGCAGGGGGGCGCGCCCTAGGGGGGCGCCCCCACCCTCGTGACCACCTCTTTGATCCATTGCAGTAGGGTCCAAGTCTCCTGGATCACGTTCGGTGAGAAAATCACGTTTCCGAAGATTTTATTCCGTTTGGATTTCGTTTGATATTCCATTTATCCGAAACACTGAAATAGGCAAAAAAACAGCAATTCTGGGTTGGGCCTCCGATTAATAGGTTAGTCCAAAAAATAATATAAAAGTGGAAAATAAAGCCCAATATAGTCCAAAATAGTAGATAATATAGCATGGACCAATCAAAAATTATATATACGTTGGAGACGTATCAGGCATCCCCAAGCTTAATTCCTGCTCGTCCTCGAGTAGGTAAATGATAAAAGAGAATTTTTGATGCGGAGTGCTATTTGGCATAATTTCAATGCAAATATTCTTAATTTTGGTATGAATATTCAGATTATAAAGATTCAAGATAAAAGTTTATATTGACATAGAAAATAATAATACTTCAAGCATACTAACAAAGCAATTATGTCTTTTCAAAATAACATGGCCAAAGAAAGTTATCCCTACAAAATCATATAGTCTGGATATGCTCCATCTTCCCCACACAAAGTATTTAAATCATGCACAACCCCGATGACAATCCAAGCAATTGTTTCATACTCTAACTTTTTCAAAACTTTTTCAATCTTCACGCAATACATGAGCGTGAGCCATGGATATAGCACTATAGGTGGAATAGAATGGTGGTTGTGGAGAAGACAAAAAGGAGAAGATAGTCTCACATCAACTAGGCGTATCAACGGGCTATG